CACTTTAAGAGAATACTGTAATTCTTATAGCAATCAATAAAATAACTTCAGGAATATGAATAAGTTTACTAAAAATGCAGAGAATCCATGCTTTAATTTGATTAGAATGTTTCATGCAAAGTCTAAAATATAAGATAACTTTATATAAATATGAAAAGGGATACTTCATTATCCTTCATAGTCATCATTATAAATTTTCCATATAAAAGGGAAATTTTTCATTGATAACTTTAAATGAGAAGTTTTTCTTTTTGTCTTCCCATTAGTATCCATCATGTACAAAGTGGGTTTTTCTCTTGCTACAACTAATGCTAATTTTAGCATATGATCTGTCACCTCATCATAAGAGTCTTTGAACAAGTATTTCATATCATTCTCATTATATATAGTACCATAATGTCAGTTAATCCTAAACTGTAATTTTTAATCTTTACAGACTCAGATTCTTCCATTGACAGAAGCCATTTACCTTATATAGCACACCTGAAAATTTTCAACATTTAGAGTAAAAATGGCACAAGTTACAAAAAATTACAATAATTTTGTTCATAGTGTTTTAGTAGTGTTATAAGACTTATTTTATATAACTGAAAGAAATAAGTTACTGGCTTACCAGGAAAAACAGTATCAAGAAAGTTTCTTAGGAATCCTTTGCTTTCAGAAGAAAACAGAATTTCTGCTCTTTCATATCACTTTATGATAATTGTTAAAATATTTCTCCTCTTTTAGTCTTAATAGTTTCAGAAGTTTAAAATACTTCTTGAAGGGCTGGCCAAATAGCTCAATAGATTAAAGCACCTGCTAGCAGGCACAGGGGCCTGGAGTTCCATCGGCTTGCTGGCCCTGCCCCTGGGACACACTGAGATGGCAATTGAGACTGGGCGTGGTGGCACCTGCCTGTAATCCCAGCTCTTGGGAGGCTGTAAACAGGAAAATCACTACGAATCTGATCTAGTCTTGAGACCCTGAACACCCTGTAGACCCTTCCCTAAAATACAAAAAATAAAATACAGTACTTCTTGAATAAATTTCAGAGGCTATTCCCATTATAATTCATTCCTTTTTTTTTTTTTTTTTAAATACCCACAGCTCGAAAAACAAAGAAAAAAATAAAAGGAATTCAGCAAGCTACTACAGGAGTCTCACAGGATACTTCAGAAAATCTTAACAAAACAGTAGTTCCTGCAACATTACCACAACTCACCCCCACTCTGGTGTCACTCTTGGAGGTCATTGAACCTGAGGTGTTATATGCAGGCTACGATGCGTCTGTTCCAGACTCGACCTGGAGGATCATGACCACTCTCAACATGTTAGGTGGGCGCCAAGTGATCGCAGCAGTGAAATGGGCAAAGGCAATACCAGGTAAGACTCAAAGGAATGACGGAGCTACGTTATGAAACTTCGGGATTTCTTTGAACCAAAACTATCTTGCTGTTTATCATCTTCATCTCACCACTCATCTTGTTCTTCTGATGGAGAAGCAGAAAGTGGGGTGACTATGGCCAGGGGGATGACTACAATAAAACTTTTACGTTGTTCTCTACTTTTCAGATTATTTCTCATAACAGTAGTTTTGTAGGTGATAAAATAATGTCAGAAGCAACTGACATCTAGGAGAATAAAATGTGGAATTATTTTTAAGAACCCACTTACATTCAGGTTGTTTGCAAAATCAGTAAACATCAACAGTGTTGACTTGTCACAATGTAGTACATGAATGTAAAATATTATCTAGTCTTTAAGGTAATTTTGAACAAATTTCCATGGAACACACCAAAAGCAACAGTGTCAGCCTGACTTTACAGATAAGAGGGAAACTGACAAGCTTGTGGTTATACAGTTAGAGGCAGAACAGGACTGAATGACCTAATTTCTCTGTCCTGTCGAGGGGGAAAGTAGCGTGAACATCAGGGAAACTTTTACATTCACTGGCGAATATAATTCCAAATCAGAACTCTTCATTTATCCTTTTACAGTTTAATTCATTTTTTGTTAAATGGACAAAAGTCACAAAATAGACAAAACTCTTTTCATACATAGAATGACAAACATTTCTGAGCTCTGGGTCTTAAAAGTGTCAGATGACAAAAGAAAACTACATTAATTTTCATCTGTTAAGAATTTTCCCACACCAGGCTAATTGATTTAACAGCTCTTTGGCAGTTCACAGAGGGATGATCTCTGGCAACTAGAATGTTTATATCTTAATTTCTCTCAATTCAGGATTCAAGAACTTACACCTGGATGATCAAATGATCCTTCTGCAGTACTCATGGATGTTTCTCATGGCATTTGCCCTGGGGTGGAGATCATACAGACAATCAAGTGGAAATTTGCTGTGTTTTGCTCCTGATTTGGTTGTTAATGAGTAAGTCATATGTGAATCATTTTGTCTATATGACAGTGTGATTAATTCTGGGTTGAATCAGCCCTCCCAGCTATCTAAGAACTGAGACAACTCAAAATAGAATTATCAATGCTTAGAACAGGTCATAGGTAATAATAGAACAAATATGCATACATACTTAAGGATTTTTTTTGTTAATAGTGGGCATCTGTAGGGTCAGTGAAGTCTGGCAAGTTACAAGGAATCTTACTGTGATGTTTCAGTTATATAAGCCTACTCCAGAAAGGAAAAGGAGCATGAGAGAACTCATGTGGCTCCAGTAGGGACAGTTACAGACGAGGATGTCTTGGTTAAGGGTTTGAGAGATATGGGCCCAGAAATAAGAAGTATCTCTCTGCATGGCAAGGTTCATTAAATATCTGTGTCTTAGAACATGAAATCAAATTACTGGATTTGTTTTGAGAGAGAACAAATCAAATCAGCTCTTTTCTTACCCTTCACACCTATGCCTCTGTGAAATATTTCAGATGTTCATTTCCATATCATATTGCAGGTGTCAACTAGTTCTCTACTGATGGTGTAGCCCTGTTGTGTTGGCTTATGCTTTCTTTCTAGAGCACAGTTCTGATCACATCAAGCATTTCTGCAGTGTACCAACATCTTCACATCTCCATCCAGTGTATGCTGCATGTGCTCTCAGCCTTTCTAGAACTTGGCCTCATTTTACTCTCCCTGTGTTCTTCACACACACACTGTTCCCATTCAGCTGAATCTTTCTGCAAACACACCCTCAGTTTATGGTGTTGTATATCTCTAGTTTTTATCACTTTACTTTCTATTACTAGTTTTTGTGCCCACACTTGCCTCCTTTTATTAGAATGTAAATAAGGAGTTTACACACACATACACACACACCCGTTGTCAAAAAAGGAAATTTGTACTGATACACAAAAAGATGAAACTTACCTTAATTGTGAGCACTGGATGCTGTTGAAAGCCACCCCTCAACCCTGCCCTCCCAGAAAAAAAGATTAATGAAATTTTAAACCACATTATAATCACAGTCGCATGTGAGACAGTGTGAGTCAACCCATCACTAGTTATTTTCAGAACTGAGTGCCCCATTAAGAATATGGACACCTGAAGTTATGTGGCACAGTGGCAAGGCGTTTGAAAGTTAACACTGATTAATGAATGTGGAATGTTTAAAGGAAAGAGAAAAGGAAATTGGCAAGCACAGCCTAAAGACATAGTATATGAAAATGTGCCAGATATTCCCTGTTGGGTGTGCCAGGTTTAAAAAATATTTATAGAAGAGCATCTATTTGAGCTCTGTGTTAAAGGGAACATCTTAATTTACAGTGCAGTAGGTTCCCATTATTTTAAGTGTTTCATTAGGGACTGGATGACACTAGTCCCACATACTTTAAAGAGGAGATTCTGAGGCAGTATGCACAAAGCCACAGGTTTCAGGGCAAGTCTATCTGAACACCTCTTTTTATATTACTACTAGATAAACTCAAAGCTAGCTATCTCTCAGGATAAATTAGAACTACATGGACCAGCCAGATAGCTCAACAAATTAAAGAGCCTGTTTAGGCAGATGCAGGGGCTGGGGTTTGATCCCTGGCCTGCAGTGCTGGGCCCGCCCTCAGGACATGCAGAGAGGGCCAGTGAGACTGGGTGTGATGGTGCATGCCTATAATCCCAGTGCTTGGGAGGCTGAAAATAGGAGGTTCACTGCAAGTCTGATCCTGTAGACTAAATACATTTTTTAAAAAAGAACTACATATAGCAGAGATTTCAGGTTTCCTTGCCACTGGACTAGCAGCATAGAAAAGTCAGTCTAAAAAAAAAAAAAAATGCCAGCTGAACTATAAGTTAAACCTGGTATTGCTTCTCCATTGGTGCTATTAATTTTTCAGCACTATATTTATTCAGGGATATATGAATACTACCAAATGCCAAGCATCATCATAGGAATTTAAAATATAATAGTGAACAAAATAGATAAGGCCCCTGCTGACCTTCTGATAGGAGGATTCAAATAAATAACCAGAATTATCTCAGAGTCATTATATAATGGTATAACTGGAGGAAGAGAGTAAAAAAGAGAATGTCTTAGATTTTAAGACTGCAAGAAAATCTAAGTTGATCATTCAGTTGTATAAAAGAACAAACTGTGTGAAAGTGTACAGCTTCCAAAGCAAAAAAAAAAAAAAAAAACACCTGAAACAAACTTGACTTGTGTGAGGAACTGAGAAAAGGCACCTGAGTATACTGTTCGACTTTTTAGAGAAGAGAAGCCAGAATAAAACAGAATTTTTTAGGCCATGAAATGAAAGTTTAGATTTTATTTTATGATCAAGAAATAGAAAAGTTAAAAGGGGAGGAACAAATATTCATTACAGTCCTAATATGTGCCTAATATAGTGCATGTCTTAAGCAAAGAAGACAAACAAGATTCCTAATCTTTATTTGCTTATATGTCATCCATAGGAGATACACAGATAAACACCAAATAAATTAAATATCTTCAGATTGATTATTTTTACTAGACAAAAGTCCATTTCAAACGAGGCAGTTAATTCTTGAAAGAGGTGTCAGACTTCAGAGTGAGAGAAAACATGAGGTATATGAAATCCATGTATGATCAGGTGGCATAATCCTTCCCTGTTCCTCCTCTTGAAGGGCAGATAGAACATGATGATTGCGAGTCTCACATGACATGTGATTAATGTCTCTGTAATCAGGATTTGCCTTGTAAGTACTGCATTCAGTCGCTCGTGTACCCTAAGGGGCCAGATGTGCAGCCTTCAGCTAATAGCTAGTGCCTTGCTTGGCCAGGCACTCCTTCATGCTCAGTGTCTATGTCAGAGCAGGAAGTCACCTGGACCACATGTTGCCAAAATAACTTTGAAATTACCACATCATAAAGGAACAAGATTGTTTAATCCAATTTTAAGTTAACTGGTAAATATATTTAGTTTATATGGAGACTCAAGACATTTTCACTCATTTCAGAATGAAACCATGCTTTCAAAAAAAAATGTTTACAGTCACTTTCTATTAAGCAAGTTGAAGTCATTTAATTGGAATTAAAACTATGAGTAAGTTTATATGAAATGACAGTTTACCCCTTTTATTTATAAAACTAAAATAATCTAATTCTAGGGTTTTATTTTTATAACACTCAAGTACAACATGTTAATGTCCCATACGTTCCTTACAGAGATGTTCTCCAGTTTATATTCATTTCATGTCCATTATTGAATATGTAAGATATTTTTAGAGATTTTATCTAGTGGTTAAAGGATTTTCTTTACTCAGTGTTCAACTCTTTAGGAAGATCAATAGCGAGAGGAAAATTAGTTTTGAAGATGGCATTCTTTACACTCTTATGTTCCTGTGCTGCCACATATGAAATAGAAAAGCCCCGTCTTTCTTTTTTCAGCCCATTGTGTTTATGTATTGCTGCAGTGTCTGTGATAGGCAGATATAGGGTGTGAGAGTACAGGGTCCAGTCTTCTGTGTAACTGTAGAACAGTCTTATAGTTGTTCTCACGTCACAGTGTGTAGAGTGTTTTCTACAGCCACTATAAATGTACTGATACTCTATTACATGGTAACTTCATTGAAGTTTTCAGTTACAGGAAGGATTCTAGCCATGGATAATAGACTACATGGGAAAAGGCTCCTTGAGACTTTTAATTGCTAGTGGAGGATTGGGAAGGTGCCTCCTTAGTGCAAGATCTTAAATTTAAAGAGCCATGGAAACTCTCCCATGATCTTTTGACCCACACAATTCATGTCTTAATTCATTCATTTTATCATAGAAAATGAACTGCATCTTCAGTAGAAATAATGACCTTTTTTATTTTTTGAAACAGGGTCTCACTATGTACTTTAGGCTGGTTCTGAACTCACTGTTTTCCAGGTTGACCTCAAATTCATACTGATCTCCTGCCTCAGCCTCATGAGTGTTGGAATTACAGGCATGTACCACAACACCAGTGAAATAACTTTTTTGCTGTTAAATTTTTTTTTTCATTTAACAAGCCATAAACTAGGCCTATTTTTTTTACTGTTAAATTCTCTTTATTTTTTCCATAATTTTATTGAGAAACAAATAGCAATGAGATAGTTTCAAATCAAATTGGTAGGACAGTTTCAATAATTAACACATTGCGTACATTCTTCCTAGTGGTTAATTGCTGTACAAGATGCGTACATGATATCCTATTTACAAACACCATTAGAACAAATCCCTCTAAGAGAATGTACAGGGGCCGGCGGTACAGCTCAGCGGACTAAGTGCTTGCACAATGAAGCGCGGGGACCAGGGTTCGATACCTGGCTCCGGGTGCCGCGCCGGCCCCGCCCTCAGGCGCGCTGAGCTGGCGATGGAGTCCGGGCGCGGTGGCGCGCGCCTGTAATCCCAGCCGTGGGGAGGCAGAAAGCAGGAGGATCGCTACAACCCACGTAGTGAGACCCTGCACAGAAAAAAAGAAAAAGAAAAAAAAAAAAAACCTGAATGGCTTTCGAGCTGTTCCTTTAAGGGGGCCTGGCCCTAGCTCAGTTCTTTAAGTGGCAGCTTCCGCAAAGCTATCAGCCTCAGGTCGCACAACACTCCAGCCAGCCAAACCACCTCTCAGGGCATTCGGAGTCAAAAAAAAAAAAATCCTTATTCCAAGAGAATGTAACTATATATCTATCCTAACCACTTTGAGTACACAGATACAAAATGGACATTCATCTGTATACCCTTTTTTTGTTAAGTTCCAAGTTATTTGAGTATTATAGGTGTGTAAACTCAGCAAAATATTTTAAGAGTCCAGTTGCCCCTAATAGTATTGGGTCTTCCGTTTGACGGGCAATGTCAGAAATTGTTGACCTGAGTCTGCTACAGCTCAACATAACAGCATGACTTTATTTCTTACATTTCGTTTTTATATTTTTCTGCTGGATGGTTAAGACCAAGGTAAAGCAGGACCTATGCAACAAGAGTTGTAGCTTTTGGGTCTGATAAGGTCAGTG